AAAATTGTAGATTGTATTATCAATTTGAGAGATTATGAGATGTTAAATTTGGCAATTGCTTCATATAAAACACTGGCTACATTAAGTTTTAATAAAAGTGAAGTAATAAAGTATCTTGATAGAAAAGTATTAAATCAATCCTCAAGCTGATCTATACCATATTTTATATACATTATTAATTAAATATATTTAAATTTTAAAGAATGATAAAAGTTAAAGAAAAGTGAGTTGAAATTTACATTAGCAGAAAAATGCATTTTAGTGCTACAATGACACAACATGTCGAAGGAGCTCATTCAGCTATGAAATGTGTTATTAAGAGTTTGAGAAGTTTAATGAAGTTCTTTAATTCATTAGATAAATGGTTAAGATTGCATTATAAGGAACTTCTGCTACAATATGAGAATGAAAGTATAAATATTAATCTTCTATTAACATAGGATAATAAGAATCGATTAAAACTACTTTTAGAAAAAGTATCGCAATTTGCCTTGAATAAGATCAAAAATAAACTACTTAGCATAACTACATATAAGGCCTGTTTGTATGAATTGTGTATTAATTATAGCATACCTTGTCGATATATGCTTCTATTATAAGATCCCATTGAGCTATTAGTAATTTTGAAAAGATGGCTATTATTTTCTGACCAAGATCAAAATGATTTTAATTTTCTTACAGAAAGCTTATCTTCAATTGAGGTTGATTATTCTTTATTTAAGTCTTAGTTATATAAAATTAAAACATGATATATGAATTTTCCAGATAAACAACAAAAATCGATTCTTTTAAAAAAGCTTAATGATGTTTTAGCAGTGCCTGAAACTAAACTTTCTGAAATCAAGATTTCAGAACAAATTACTGAAAAAGGATGCTCTTCTAGACTAAGCAATTACCAATTGCAGTAGAACAAATCGAAGCAAAAACAAAAAAAAAATTGGTGTTATTAAAAAAAAACAAATTAAAAAGGTTGATATTTCACAAAACAGTTCAACAGTTTATAATGATAGTAATATTTATTTTAACTATACAGTATATAGTATTATTATAGTATACATCTTATTAATTTATTATTATTTATAGATAAGAGACTAAAGATATTATTGAATCCTCGAATTTCTACTGATGATGTGGATCAAATTTATAATCCAAAAAGTAACAGTAATTGTGGATTCCATGCACTTGCCATTGCCATTACAGAAAATGAGAAAAATTGTTATCTTGTTAAATTGGCTATAAATAATCAACTGAATAAGCATATGAAGATTTATAAGGATTGGCTAGGCTATAATATCAATTTACTTAAACAGATATTAGAGTTTCAAGAATTACCATATCCATCTTTGCTTTGGTTTTTATCACCTGATTGTGCACAATTGGCCACTAACACTTTTTCTGTTTCTATTGCTATATTTAATGAAAAGGATGAACAGTGCACAATGTTTTTTTTATTAGAATCAGTGCCAATACATGGAAGAAACCCGATTATATTGCATTTTATTAATGGCAACCATATTGTATATGTAAACATGAAAAATTATGCCAAAGTAAATTAGCCAATAGTTAATGTGTTGCATGTAGTTATTTGCCATAGATATGGTCTTGAAAACCATTAGTCAAAGCTCTTTGCATAGTTTATCTTTTTTATAAAAATAACAATAGTAATATAACTTGCATTTTTAAATAGATCATAAAATTCAATAAAAAATAAATAGCATTCTGCAAATTGATACTACATACTGATACATAGTTTGTACAGTACTACTGCTTAGAATATAACTAACTAAATACATTTTAATTGTTTAATATGTATAATGATAATAGTTTTTTTTTTGGACTACTGCTTATTATGTTTGATATGAATGACAATAATATAATTAGATTAGAAATAGGATAATTATGTCGATCATTTGCTGTGCTGATAAAGGAGATAAATCACATGCATGCTATATCAGTATATTTTCTCTAAAAAATAGGTACTTATGTCGATTATTTGCTGTGCCAATAAAGGAGATAAATTATGTACATGCTGTGTTAATATATTCTCCCTAGTAGCTCAACTACAAGATTTTTCGGCAAATGATTTTTGGCCAATTAGATTGAAGGAGCAAGTGTAACGTAAAATCAAAACAATTGAATTAAGTAAAAGATTTTAAAGTAATAAGCATCATCTTTAGGGTTAGAATTAAGAATAAGAAAGGTTATAACTTATACTAAAATTTCATGAAAAAAAATTTTTATTAAAATGCAGAAGGCAGCTTTATATGTAAAATTTTAAGTTAATAGCGATTTTTTAAAGAGACTGATTTTCATATTCACCTGATTCTTCAATCTAATTTGTTATAGTCACATGTCAGAAAAAATTTTGGGTCAATAGAAATGCATGATATTTTTTCTAAGTAAATTTTTTAAAACTTTAAACAAAGATAACTCAACAACAACTTTACCAAATTTAATAAAAAAATTTTTTTAAAACAATCCTAAAACTTATAGAATTTATTTAAAAAAAATTTTATTAAATTTGATTAAGTATTTGCTAAGTTATCTTTGTTTAAAGATTCAAAAAATTTCATTAAAAAGAATATGGTGCATTTCTACTAATTCATCCTCATATGTTCAACAACAATTTTATTTGCAAAACCAATAATTTTAGTTATTTTTTCTATTAATACCCTGGCTCAACTCTCTTATATGACTTTTGTCAAAAGGAAATTTGCAACTAGTTAGTATGTTATTATTTTAATATATTAGTAAAAGAAATATCCCAATTTTTTTATTATGTATAACTATATATTAGCAAAGTATTTTAATAACTTTTAAGCATAACCAGAATATTACTCTTTAATAATAATCTGGATAGTTATTATAGCAATTTATAAGATATATTAAAGTTCTTTACAATTTAAAAAAACTATTTCAATGACTTAGAAAAATCTTAAGTTTACAATTAGTAAAGTTAAAGTTTAAACCATCAATGTGAAATCTCTGAGCATTATTATTTTGAGTTGCTTGCAGAATAAATAAAGAAGTAAATAAAGATCTTGATTGATTTTAGGCAATTGAATTTTTTTTTTTTTTTTAATTTTGGTAACAATGCCAGTTGGTTTTATTAGCTTTTTAATTTGATATAGTACAATTTACAGTTACATTTTTTAGGATTAATTTTACTAGTACTATATACTATCTAATTTTATACCACTGACTTTATCTGGTTACCTATATGACAACTAAGTGCATGTCCACCACATGTTTGCATGCAGTTATCTTAACAACCATTTGCAGTCAGGGCATACTATTAAACTACTACACAAACAAAAATACCTACTGAATTTAATACAGTATCCCAAATGCCAGAAATACTGTCTTCTGTAAATCATACCCATATGTTCTATTCTCATATTTTATCTAGTCTTGTTTCTTCTGCCTCTTAATCTAACTATATCTAGTATTACCTTGTTTTCCACTTTTCTCACCTTTTTGTCACTGTACTACTCCCAAATTGGTCCTATTCAGGTATGTTTGATTCTTATGATCTTCCCATCTTTGGTATACCTGTTATTAATTCTCCTAAGATGTTCTGACAATGGTCTAAAATCTGCAAAGAACCTGTATCTCAAGTCAGATCTGCTACTACTATTGGTCTTTTGATCAATTTGTATCTTAAGCCAGGTCTGCTGCTGTCATTCCTGCAGATGCCCCAGGTCTTAACATTATACAGTAACTTGATGTTGCATTTAACCTCCAACATGATGTTCCCTTCTATAATAGAGACTGAGACTTATTGTGCTTACAAACAGAACAATTTTAGTTATACTAGGGAGTTTCTCTGACCTCAGTGATACCATACTACTATATATTGCAAGCTCCTAGCTTATTTGACAATACCTGTAAGATAATTCTGATTATGCTCTAGGGAGTTACACTGATTCCAGTGATGGCATACTACCTTGCAGATCTTATTTTATATTGGTTGGTTAATCCCAGTCTTGGTCATCATAGACTTCTATATAGGTATGATCAGAAATCCAATTTGGTACTTTTATATTGCACAAAGAAGTTATATGTTAACCTTCAAGATTTTTTTCTTCTATAATTAGATTATTCAACTATGTCAGAAGTGCTTCTAATTTTTGGTTAAACCAATTCTTTATTACAGTCTGTCCTCATGTTCACTGCTTCTCTTACCATTCCAGTTTTGGTTATTTTCAGAATATTCTCTTAATTAAATCTTCTTCTTGAATCCTAATTAAGACTTATTTATACAATTTGTTGATTATCCTTCCAAGCAAGTACCTCACAAGTTAGGTGCAAGGATGTTGGTACTGCCTATATTAGGAGGTATAAGGATGTTAGTATTGCCCTAGTCTAAAGAACTTACATATATAATCTTTCTATAACTGTAACCTTCTGTAACAACTGCTTGTTATGCATATTGTCTGCATTTTATGATTAAGTCTTCTTTTGGAAATTCCTATTTTCATTATTGTATTGCATTTGAACTTAACCATAGGACTTCGCATTTAATTACAGGCTCCTTATTAAGTTACAGAAGCTAAAATCTTTTAATTTTTGCCTCTAGTCAGACTTGAACTATTGACCTTAACTGTGGAGGGTATGGGAGCTTAACTGCTAAGCTATAAGATCCATACCCTTTTGGGTAATTAAATTAGCTTGATCTTCATTTTGATTATTTTTATATTTATTATTAATTTTATTATTTTCATGATTAATTTCAGTTTTACTAACACTATTATTATCTTCATTACTTTCATTATTTTCCTCAGTTTCATTATTTTTTTTAGTTTCATTTACTTTCATTATACTTATAAACATAAAATTTTATAAATAAATATAATATACATAGTAAATGTAAAATAATATATAATATGTATATATACAAATCTTTTGTATACCAGATGATACTACAAATTTCACAACATTAACTTGTTGCTACTCATTTTGTGACCTATACATATTGTATGCCTCTATCGTACAATGTTTGATGATGCTTATTCCAGCTTGAATATCTATTCTGACATTATTTAATTTTTGAACTGTATGTTTGTGAAGAGAGTAATTTACAATCCTTTTACTAGTACAATTAATATCTGTAATAGAACAAATCTCCTTTATAAAACTGAATAACTTATCATAACTTATATGATAGTTTGAATACCAAATATCATCTAAAAAATATATATATATATATAATATATAAATATTTAAATAAAAATTCAATAAATTATTAGTATACCTGAATAATTAATAAGTAGATAAAGAAAAAATTCTTCATCTGCATTAGAAGATCATTTTGAAATATAAAGTTTAATATCAGCAATTGGTCTATATTCATTAGGATCATTAGGTGATATAATATTAGACTGTTTCTTCACTTTCTTATATGCATGCTGATGATGAAAATAATCATCTTAATATATTTTATTATGGATTGTTACCAAATCAAAGCCACCATCATCACATGGAACCAAATTGTTTAACTTTATTTTATAATAAGAACCATACTGTTTTGCAGTGATACATCCTATCTAAAGGAATATCCAAAATAAAAGTTCTTGTAGATTGTTTCGTGAAATTTGTAGATGATTAAAAATAATTCTCATTTTCTTATCAGTTAATAGATTGACACCTTGATATGAAGTTAATTACTCCAACTTTTTCATACAACTATGAAGTATTTCATGAAATTCTTTAAACTCAAAATCATTACAAATATTAACTGGTTGATGCTTAAAAATTGTTTGTAAATAACAATTTATAACATTAATTTCAACATATAAAGAGTTAGATGAATATTCTATATCATTCCATATTTTTATTTGAATAATGAATTCAGACAAAAAACCTACAATAGTTACTTTATCTTCAGAAGTATCAAGATTAAAATCTGGTTGAACATCATTAATATAATCCTTAAATCGATTAACCATGTCATAGTACTTTTTTGAGTATTTTCAAGCACAATCTTTTTTTTGTAGAGTTGAAATCTTTCTGCTGATGGTTTTTCAAACCTTTTACAAGTATTAGGTAAATTACCATAGATAGAATTAAAATCAGAAGCTTTTATAAAAGAACAATTCATTTTTATTTTTTTAGTATTGATATCTTTAAAAGAGAAAGAGAAATTGAATCTTATATTTGAATTATCGAACTAATATCATTTTATATAAGTTTAATACGTATGAGCTAATGACGTATTTTTTCATGTGAGAGGTCAGGGTATTAATTAATAATATACCACGATGAAAAAAAATCAGAATACACTTACGAATAGAAAAGGTCAAAATTACTTCGAAAAGTGGCATATATTTAGAGGTTGGAAGCACGGATGTAACGTCTGTGACGAATGCAACCATCATTCACATTTATATGGTAAGACATGCAAAAACGTAGCGGACGGAATATATAAGCGATGTGAATGTGAAAATTCTCGATACTATAATAAATAAATCAATTAGTGATTTGGTAATAATGATAACGATAGTTTAAAATTTGTACGTAAAACCTTATCATTATACTATTAATGAAAAAAATTCTACAGTTATCCCGTAGTTATTATGTATCTATTATACTACAATAACAGCAGAGGCAGTGCCAAATCCAACATGAATCCCTCTCGCCTGTAATCAATCACAAATTAAATTATTTATGTTGGATTCAATTGTGTGATGGATATAATCCCTCACAGTTTTAATATATGCGTAACATTAACGGTCTCTGCTGTACGTATACTACAATATAAAAAAAATCCCGTAACTAAATTATCTGGTATTATTCTAAATTCGGTCATCTAACTCATGTACATTTGTAATATGCTTTCTGTGCAACCAAATATCTGGGTCTCGCACCTGATTATTTTATTTGAATATCCCTTAGTCTCACGAGGAAATGCGTACGCGTAATACGATAAAGTCGCGTAAAAGGCGGGCAATTTACGATTCTTACTTTTGTCTTTAACACTAAAATGAGTATTAGTTTACATGATATCACTAAAAAATGAAATACCGAAAAATTAATAGAATTCTTGAGAAATCAAGAATTAAACCTTGATGACGAAGATTTTTCGTGTTTGAGAAGTCAAAAAATTTCGGGTTCTAACTTTCTTCTATTGAAAAGAAGAGATTTAATCGACTGTAAGTTAAAGGTGGTGCCTACTGTAACACTTTTAAATTTAATCACTGAAATTAATACTGGTATGTACGGTATATCGATTTGGTATATAGTTAGTTTATTGTATAACTTATTTAATTTCTTTCTTTATAGGGAAATTGTCAAGTGAAAAACTTATTCCTGTTCTTCAAGACGTAAAAAATTCGAAATGGTTATACTCCAGATATTTCTATACCTTTCCTTTCAACGAATGGTCACTTGAGCATTATTAAAATTGGATTCTAAATAATTACACAACTTCCAAAAAAGAGGTTTACAATCAGTGTTTTTTTAAAATAATTCGAAAAATAAAAGAAGATTCTAAAACTTTAGAAGAGATAAGAGAATTCATATCAAAACTAGACGAAAAAGTAAGATATTGATTTATTTTTCTATATTACACCTGTTATTATGATGAATTGTCGGTCATCTTGTGCAATGGCTTTTTTGGTGTAAACAATATTTTACCTATCCTAGTGAATGAGAATCGGTTCTCATTGTGTAAGGGATAGCATTAATAATGTATGGGTTTGGATGAGGCTACTCCTTGACTATCCCGTGAGGATCGGTTCTCACATTAGTAGGGATAGCACAGGAGAAGGTACGTCCTTGAAAGTTAGCCGAATTAGTACATTTTTTACTGATTATGTCCAGTAGTATGTATTGTTGAATTTTAGATTTTACCCCGTTCCAAGTCACGAGTTTTCTTATTTTTATTTATCTTTTTTTTACTTATTTATTTATTTATTTAGTCTTTTTATTATTTCAGTTATACCTGTATATAGTTATTTGTTTGTAATTCGTCCTGCTCATGCCCTTGTTTACGTTTAAGAACCGTGGTAGCTACGTACATACTGACATAAACATTAAAATGAGCAGTTGGGGCTACGAATAAGTCATAGATAAGTAATATGAGCAGTGTGGCTTCGTGTTACCATAGGATGGACGTAACAACTGTTCACGAAGGAGTAAATAACTGCTCATAACGATATTAGCGCCTTTATCATATAATTACTTAGTATAGCCTTCACGAATAAAGTTGTATAAATACAGGTCCTTTTCGCCTTTCCAAAAGGACCAGTTGCGAATTAAGTTAATAATAAAATCCTAAAGACACATAAAATACTATACCGTCTCTAAAACATCTCACATTAATTTATCTAAACTTCGTCTAATTCCCTATTACGCTACAGTTTTGAATTATTATAAGGCAAAATATCTTAGAGAGTTTAGGGAATATAATGAAGTAGCGTTTCAGACCGCAGTCGAATTACTACTTCCCACAAAACATTGGTGTTCTGAATTACGTCTCGTAATAGGTAGTTCAAAAATATCAGGCGAAGGTCGCTTTGGCTTTATCGATATTTTCGTTAATGGAGTAAATGGAAACGGTTTAAGTTCAAGCATAATATTGGAACTGAAGTGTATATCGTTGGTAGGTCTTCTGAGTGGAGAAAAAGGAAGATGGGTTGATAATCCAGATTATAAATCGTTAATGGAATTAGATGCAAAACTTGAAAAAGAAGCCGAAAATGAATTATTAAATAGAAAGTACTTTTATTGGTGTAAAGAGAAAAAGAAATGTAAACAAGTAAACGTAAAAAAAATAATCAGTGGTGGGTGAAACAGCTTAATAGATATATGTTAACAATGCAAAATGGTAAGGTTAATAATCAAAAGGGATCAGGAGTTTGTGATAATAAAATTAAAATAGAGAAAGGCAAGGGATTTTTGGGAGGTTTTCTTTTGGTTTCGATTGGTTCTAAACGAATCTTGACTAAATCATCAGAATTTAAAAAAATAGGCATAAAATTTTCTATATCCAGTTAATTCTGTAATTGGAATTTTCATATTTCTTTAGCTGTATCAACAAATTAATAAGATGGTCCTGGAGGTTGTTTTTTATATAATAAATTACGATGATTGATATTCATAGTAGAAATCATGACTTTCAAAAATTCTAATTATTTCAGTCTCGATCGAGGCCAAAATTCTTATGTGCGATCAGCAATGATGTTGATTGATATCGCAGTTAACAATCACATTTTTATTGCATATTTACTTTTGTATATAAATCAGATCTGGTCGTAGCATTATTAAATAAAGAAAAATGTCAAATAAAATATACCTCACCCTATTTTTTGCTGGTCTTATTGATCGATTTCGCATACATAATTAGTTTACTTTGCGTATATATTTCGATGTTATATATTATATATTGATATATATATGTGATTGAGAATTGTTATAAATTGGAACGGACATATAATATTTTTATATTGAAAATATCCACATTTTATATAAAAACAATGGCAGATTCGCAAACTACAATTGCTTCGTTAAGAGGATTAAATTCTAAACTTACACTCGAGATTACCGAACTTAGAAAGAAGTATGCTAAGGTTAAAGCTGAGAATATAAAGTTAAAGCAAATTATAGAAGAGAATACTAAATTTAAGACTAGATTTGAAAAACAAGATAGGAAAAATAAAACAGATATTGCAAATCTTATAAGCAAGAATACCAAACTCAAATCTAGGGTTTTGAAATTGGAACAAAAGTTACCACAAAATAATGAAGAAAAAGGTAACCTTATTGCTAAATTAGATAATACTGCATTTTACAAAATGAATTTTGATAATACCTCTGAACAGATAAAAGATATATCCAACAATATTTCTAATCCTGATATATATCAAGAATCAATTCAATACTCTGAGTCACTTATTTGTACAATTTCTAAATCTTCTGAAAATAAAGAGATCAAAACTATTAGCAATAAAATAAGAGAGAGAAATCAGGAAAAGAAGCATTAAGCTCAAAACTCTTTATTATATAATAAAGATAATTCATTATGTGATATAAAAACTGGTTTTCAGAGAAACGATCATTATAATTCATCATAATATAAAAACTATCTCTCAGGAAAAAAATCATGATATTATTAAAAGTAGTGTAGATATTGCTTTCTAAATAAATAATCAGCAAATCTATTTTGAATACTCTTTTATCAGCAGAAAATCTTGACAATTCAGATGAAATTGAGCTTACTAAAAATTAGAATATAGAACTGAATTTAATATAAAATTTATGGAGTGGTAGTATTATTGCTTTACCTACCAAAGATAGTAAACAAAATTTATCTATAGAATTATTTCAAATTACAATACAAAGTTTAATCTGTTTGTTTTGAAATATAATATGATCTGGACATAAAGAAATTTTATCTTGAACTCATTATTTAGATAATTTTGAAAGTAAAGTTGTTGAAATTCATCATGAGACAGGAGTTACTAATAAAACTGCAAGAACTCAAATATGTAAAAAAATGTTAAAACATCTATCTGGCATTATACTGATTGTCTTAAGAATTAAAATCTTAGAGTCAAAAAAATTTGTAAGTTATTCGAAAGAAATGAAGTTAAAATAAATAAAATAAAAAATGTCATCTATAGTACAAATAATATTTTAAAACTGGCTAATGCTTAAATTCAAAATATTATAAATCAAGTAAACTCAAAAAGTGTTTTATCACAAAATAGTAAAGTTATGTGATTTTAAAACCTATTTTGTAAAAAAATAATTAGACTATTTTATCTAAAGTAAATATTTGGCTAAGTCATTAACCTCTAGCTCTTTTAGTTAAAAAAACTTATCAGATATAAAGGTAAGTGTACTATCAATGCACTTGATCCAAAAAGAATATATTAGTTATTCTATATGATGCTTATGTCACCTATATTAATGCAATATTGAAGCAGTATTCTTATCTATTATTACATTATAGTAATAAATTTAATAATTGTTACAAATTCAATAACTTAAATCTAAAATTATTAGAATATTTAATATTATATTTATTATGAAGATTATAAAGAGAGTGTAGTGACTTAGTGAAGTAGATAAGTTGTCAACTCTTCAAATGATAGGTAGTAAGTTCAAAACCTACTGATAGCAAAAATTTGGATAATCATCTATATAATATATAGACAGTATTATAGTGACAGCATTCTGTTGATCAGTTGGGATAAGATACCTGTAACATGATCATACCAGCATGACTGGCAGGTCATAAGGCATCTGCACAATGTTGAAGTTATACAAAGAAATGCAAACCAGCATCAGACAGTGCAAACCAGCATCAGGCAGTACAAACCTAAAATAAGTTCTTATAATTATATAAATCTATGAACTAAAAAGCTGAAGCCCACTTGAAAAGACCTGAATAGAGAGGTAGCACAGAACTTTGACAGTATTACTATAAAGACTAGATCTAGGAAATAGATATCAATATGAAAAAAATTGGGTAAGTAAAAATCTTGAGTAAAGGATATTACTAATCAGGCTATTAGAAGTCTTAAACCAGAGAAAAAGGACCTTGAAGGGCAGACCCTAAGATATCAGAAACAGGTCATAGTCCTTTTGAACTATCTAGATTAGGAATCTGCAATTGGAAACAGAGATATACTATAAGTACTAGAGATATGCTATAAAGTCAATGCTAAAGTTTGAGTAAACTCTGCAAAAATGTGTCTTATTAATAAGGATTAAATATAAGTAGTTAGTTAGCAGAAAGACACTCTTCAGCCTTACAGTCAGGTGACATACTCTAAAATATGTAACAGCTTGACAGATATACAGAAAGAAAGGTTAATGTTAGATTAAACAGCATCTAATATAGATGTATAAGAACTTGTATGCTATCTGTTAGTGTTGTATAGAGATCAGAATGTTTAAAATAGATAATCTCCTAGTAAATTGCAAATATGACAGCTAGTATAGAACCTACTATATGAGTGGACTACTTAAATTAGATAATTACAAATTATATAAGTGACTAGTTGTACACTCATCTTGTACAAGTTAAGTAATCATAATTAAAATACAATAAAAGCAATAGTTACCAATAATCATGACCTTAGTGAAAACAAAAAAAAAAAAATTTATAAAGATTAGATAATTGTGAATAATTTTTAAGATATTGTATTTGTTTATATTTATAGTAAAGTGAATGATGTTTAAGGATAGAAGCAAGTATTTTAAAATTATATATAAACCTAATGGTAAATTTTTTTATATTTAAAATAAGTTAAAAACTCATTGAGATATGAATTTTTAAAGATTAGGATATAAAATTATAAAATAAAATTAAATAATAGGGTTGCATAAATTAATCAATCAAATTCTTTATTTTTGTGCTATCTAAGTAAATTTAACCTATCTAAATAAACTTTATTATATATACAAGTATATTTTTTTAAAATAATACAATATTTCAAAATTTTACTATAATAGATAAATAATTTTATTTATAATATTATAAAATTTTTTTATTAATTAATTAAAAAATAAAAAAGTTTTATTAGTAACATATATTAAATTTAGATGAAAATATAAATATTACTAGATAAAAATGATCTATATAACCTTACCCTTAAGTAATTTGTCAGATTTAATTTCATAAATTGTTTTAATTTTTTTGTAAAAAATATTTTTAGTAATAGTTTTGGAAAATGTTTTGAGTATTTTGTTCCAAACTAGATTAAGTTTATTTTAATTTGTAATATTTAATATTTTAGTTTAAAGTTGTTGAAAACTTTGTGAAATTTGATTTGAGTAATTGTTAAGGTTTTTCTTAGAACAATTTTTTCAAAGAAAATTTTTTTTTATATATTGTTTAGTAAGTTTTGTTTTGCACAATTTGCAATTTTTATTAAGATTTATAATAATAGTAGATTTACTTATATACAAAAGACTAATTTTTGTTTATGATATTATAAAATATTGTAATAATATCAAAAATTAGCACAAATAGACTAGCTTAAGCTAAAATAGTTTGCAAATAATAAAAAATTAATTTTATAAATTATAACAAAATCTAAGCTTAAAAGATAATTATATTAAATATTTTTTTTAAAAAAATTTAATTTTAGATAAAGATTTAAATTCATTGTAATAAAAAATTTCTAATCTCAAAGAACAGTTAGAAAAAACACTTCAAGTTTCTAAAAATATAATAATATTATATATATAGCTTAACAATCAGAAATATACAGATTATTCTTAGCTAAAAATTAAGTTATAATTTAAAATTATAGAATTTAGCAAGAAATTAATAATATTAGATTAAAGGTGTGGTGACTTAGTAAAGTAGATAAGTTGGCATACTTTCAAGTGGTAGATTGTGAGTTCAAAACCTACTGATGGCAAAATTTAAATAATCATCTATGTAATATATAGACAGTATTACAGTGATAACATTCTGTCGATCAGTTGAAATAGGATACCTGTAACTATAGTCATACCAGCATGACTAGCAGGTCTGAGGCATCTGTGTAATCTGTTATATAAAGGAATACAAACTGGTACTGGGCAGTACAAACCTAAAATAAGTCCTCAGGCTATATAAATCTGTAGAACTGAGAAGTCAGAGCTCACTTGAAAATTCCAAGCAGAGAGGTAACAAAGATTTTTGATAATACTACTGTAAAGGCTAGATCTAGGAAATAAATATCAATGTGAAGAATTCGGGTGAGTAAAAACCTCATATAAGGGGTACTACCAACCAGGCTGCCAGATTTCAGTTTGGAGAAAAAGGATATTGGACCAGCCTCAATATACCAAAGACAGGTCACAGTCCTTCTGAGCTATCTGGATTGGGAGTCTGGGTTTCAAAGCAAGAGTATACTAAAAGTACTAGGGATATGCTGTAAAGTCAGTACTGGGATCTGGGTGAACTCTGTAAGGGTAGCCCATATTAGTGTTCTAAAAATATATAAATAATTAACAATGAGGGGCTCCCTGTGCCTTACTGGCAGATAACGTACTCTGAAATATGTAATGGCCTGAAAACTAGTACAAAAAGGGTAGGTACCATACTGCTCAGATGATATACTGGTTAGATATATACAGGAGGTTAGTTGGGAATTCTAATATGACAGAGTGGATGATAAAGGGTTTAAATGAATAATCTTCTATTAAGTTATAGGTATGGCATCTAATGTAGAACCTTAGGGTGGACTACTTAAATAGGCAACCAAAAGTTGCACATGTGACTAGTTGTACTCTCATCTCTGTAAAAATAGTTGTAATAGCTAACCTGATATAAAGTCAATAAAGTATCGCCACAAGTATGACCTTTAATAAAATAAAAAAATAATAATATTAGATTATATTTTTAAAACCCAATTACAATAGCACTAACAATAAATGGTATTGTAGATTATTTTAATATAATTTTTAATGCTAGTAGTTAGCTTGAATAGTTGGTACTAAATACATATTTATAGGCAAATGTTTATGCAATTAAGGCAAAAAATTAAGTAGTAAATTTGCAAACTCAGTTAGCTACACTACAAAATAACTATAATCTTTTTTATCAGATTTATAAAGCTTACAGAACACAATATAATATTTTCAAATTATGAGAACTTTGATAGTTAAATCACAATTTGGATACAAAAAAGATATATATTAAAGTTGTTTTAAAAAAATTTTGCATTGTGTTTTTTGAATAAACAAACATAATAGCAATTGCAAGATTGCAAGACAAATGAAGCAATTACTATTTATTTTTTTAATATTATAAAAAATTAATATATTAAATATAAGATAAAATAAAAGACTTTAGAAATGATCTTTTTTTGCTAATATCCAACTTGATAATAAGTAAGGTAAGTAAAAAAATCAAGCTTAAAAATCTGAACAATTAATTTTGAATTTAAATCAACAATATTTGCACTTCAAAATAATAATTTGCATATAAATAATAATAATTAAACAGGTATAATGAGTTACAAATTAAAAAATTCAATAG